TTTTTTTTTTTTTCTTTTCCATTTTATTTATATGGAACAGTGCACAGAGTCATTTAAATTCTTTTTAAGAAAGTGGCAAGATTCGATAAAAATGTGATATTGATGATTGTCCAAAAAGGAACGGAAATAGATTGATTTTCGATGGTGAAACCGAACACCGCTGACACCATCGTGAAATCTTAGACGGAAACAGGAAATGGGCGCAGATGGTGTACACGTCACACTCCAGAGACATCGACTACACATTAGGATGCTATTAAATGCTTGGCATGATAGCAAATTACATTTCAATTACATCTTGTTAATGTCATTTTGCAAATAAATATCGTATAGGTTAAAGTAACAATTTATATTTGATCTAATCGAATGTATTATTTTCGACGATCCGTGAAGGGAATTTAATTAAATAAAGCCTATAAAGGATGCACTCTTATACATTACACCATTTCGTATTTATGACTCGATCGGATCAAATTGATCAAACCTCGTTCTGTCAACGAGACATTCTGTTAATTTGACAATTCGTATGAAGAAATGTCAGAGGATGATCGCCCTCCGCGTACGTTTATTTGGTGAAAAATTTTCGAGGACTAGAACGATGTAACGAAGGGGTGGTTAAATTCTGTGGAGCGTAAATTTCGACGGGGGTCGGGTCGGTTGTAAAAACGAAGGCCGGGTGTAAGAACGTTGGTGCCGCGGTCTCATGGCAAAACGAGGTTAAAGGTATCCGACTGCGGCAGTGTCGTATCGATTCCAGTCGAGCTGACATTGCCGCCGTGAAATCTCGAGATGTTGACAACGTACACGGTGGATTGTTTTACTCGCAACCTTTCTCTCTCTATGTGTTTCAGGGTGAAAGGGCATACGAGCAGATCGAGGCATGTCCACGTATTGGCTGAACGTGGCCCTCATCAGGGTTCTGTTACCGCTCGTCTTCACCGGATGTGAGTGCCTATGTTAAACTCCTCTTTCGAAAATTTTAATCGAAATGATTACGAATAATTTCGTCGATATTGCGCACGAAAGAAAATGATTCGACGATTTAAACATTTAGATTTGGAATATTAAAATGTTAACAGATAAGGAATGTATATATATTGTGCGTTCCATTTCTATTGATAAGCTTCGAGGAAATCTTACGTCATTACGTAATTTCGATAGAATCGTGAATTATTAGATTAGGGAATATTAAAGAACTTAATTATAAAATTATTTCTTCTCTTTCATCTTAAAAATTAAGAGTAAGAAAAAAAAAATTTAATTTTAGCTAACGTAGAAAATTGGTAGGTTTCGAAAATACAATCTATTTTGAAGATTCAAAATTTTTATATAAAATGTATAAAAGAAAACACATCGATGATGTCATGGTGTTAAAATAGCTATGATTTGTACTGACCTTAGATCTAAACTATGTCGATTCTTGAAAGTGAATGAATCGTGTGAAACTGCAAACAAGGCATATAGTATATTCAAAGGCAAAATCTAGAAATAGACGAATAAGCAATAGAGAATCTGAGAAATTTACTCTTTTTCCTTTCACTTCTCATTTAGTCTCATTTCAATGTCTTCAATCGTTGTTATAACACCTACACTCATCACGAAAGAAGATAATCATCGTGACAAAATTAACATATTATAATATATAATAACTATAACATATTACAATTTAATACGCTATAAAAATGATAATATAAATTTATCGTCGGATATATTGAATCAAAAGTTTTCATATATTGACCGTTCCATTAGCCAGTTTAATGCCATTATTAATTATCAGGATGTTATCAACGCGCCACATGTTAGATCATTCCAGATCCGCCTAACAGTATGTCATAAATAACATTGGTCGCCATTGGTTGCCTCGTTTTATCCGATAATAAAATAATCTTCTAAATAACCTATCTCATCAATTAATTTTATTATTGATTGCAATTTCGAGAAAACAATAAATTAGATTAACTGTACGTACGTATCCATTATATTCAACGTTTCAAAAATATAAATATCGTCGTTCCAGTAAATAAAGTAGATAATAAAGTGAAAAGAAAAAAAAGAAAAAAACGAGCGTTTTCGAATATTAGTTAGAAGAGATGTGATATATTTACGTGATACAAATCCGAGGAAGCCTCTTAAAATTCCATAGTAATAAGGTCGAGGCCCCGTTTAGTCCCGATTTATAATTAGGTTAGAGAATTTTATTCGATAACTCGATCGAGAACGTTATCGTTCGTTAACGTTCGTTCGAGTCATCGTTGCTTATTCGTTTAAATTATATGAGGATAATTCTCGAAGCAAAAGGTAACCGATTGCGAGCAGTCGCGAGTCAAAGACCTTTATTTAGAGGAAAGGAAGTTCTAATTCGCGCAATCTTTTTATCGTTCATGATAATTTCGAGAGGCCGTTTCGATCTTTCGACCTCGATGGTCTATAAACTAAAAAATAAAAATAAAATTACGACGTTGAATGTATCGGATGTTATCTGTGAAATTACGATGCGCATAAACTGGCACGAGTAATTAGTTGATTCGTAGTTCTTTATAATTAACGATGTCCCGTTAAAACACACGAGAATCACAGTCACGTGCTCACAGAGAATGAAAAATATGTATAAAAATATTTTTTTCGTTTTTTAATAATTCGCAATTAACTCGTCTTAATCTTTAATTTCGATCTTCTCGATCTACGAAACGAGATACGTGGATGAAATGTGAGGGGAAACAGAGGCGCAAAACGTTCGAGAATAACGAAGTAACTCGTAACAGTGCTGGAACACGGAGAGAATAACACCGAGTTTGCTTGGCAGCCGGTCAAACTTTTCGTTTGTGAGCACAGAGAAGAGAAAATAGTAAGCAGAATGCATGCCGCGAATAGAAAGCGCTCATAGAGGACTGGAACGAAATGGAATGAGTTTCGAGCACGATCCCGACGAGATTTTTCCTTTGAAGAAACAGAGCGCGTTTGCCAGAAAACGCGAGCACCCTGTGCGAAGACGCTCGTAACGAAGAAATTAATTACGTTTCACGCTAGCTAACGATTCCTAAGCGAATCAACGTTCCGAATCCTGGTGCTTTTTCGATTAATTATAGATTTAATTATAAACAACGTGTATTCCATTCCATAACACGTGTATAGAAATTCTTGTGAAGTGTAATGACACGTGGACGATTAGAACTATTAGAAAATGTGAATTGTTGAATTTTCATTCGGAGATACATCAGGGAATAAAATGTCAGTCGTTGTATAGTTTCATCTCTGTTGAAGTCCCTCGGTTGAAATTGACCTTTCTTCCACCCTATTTCTTCTCGTACCAAAATGAAATGAGCAGCATCTCTTCTACGTGGCAAATATTTAGAAAATGTCGTGAAATATGAAAGAATACTAGTTTCGCATTCTAGTTTAGATAATAATTGATAAAATATGGATTGACATTAAGAAATGATATTAAAAAAAATTTTATAATTCTTCGATTGAACAGGTGTAGTATGGAGGCCTGTAGGATTGTCACTAGTTTATTTGGCTCTGATGCTATATTCGCCACACGTGCCAATACCGGACGCAAAAACAATGGCCGGCCACACGGGCCACTATTTAAAAACTTGCATCGGCCTGTCTTTTCTCACGACAACCAGCCAAATCACTTTCCACATAGTTTTATTGGCCCTGCCTACTTACGGACACTTCCTCCGCAATTGTACGTAAGAAAAGTTTCAAGGAAAGAGAACGTTTGCCAATTTTTAAATACACTTTGGAATAAAAAAAAAAGAAAAAATTGTCTTTTCTGTAATGAATAATTTCTAGGCGAACCTATGGAAGTGATCTTCAGACACTTAGGTTTCGTAAGGCTAGATAGCGCGACCGAATGGGAGATATTTTTCTGGTTGACGCCAGAATTAATCGTCTTGCCCATTAGTATAATAATATATTTCATATGTCGTTTCCTATCGCAAAAAACGATCACCGAAGAAGGCGACGCCTCGTTGCATCAAAACATC